GTCCTTCATTTCCGGTGTTTCCATCCACAAGTCGCACATCTTTTCAGACAAAATTTAATTAGAAACGTATGATACGAAAAGCCAAGCATTGAAACAGCAGCGTAATATTACACTTCCAACCAAGCACCTATTCCTCTAGAATTTTTAACCGTTTGTTTAATGATGAAATATTCAGTACAGTATTTAAGAAACACGTGCATTCGACATAGAAATATAAAGTAGTCCAGTGGCCAATCCCAAGGGTGTATACCTTCAATCTGTTTCTTATTCTGTTCTCACTGAAAGACAGAAATTTCAACTGGAATAGGAAAAAAATCTGCCTCGCTCTTACTGTACATTTGGGTCTCGCTTCTATTTGAAGCACCCTAACTTTTCATGTAAATGCTAGGCACCCCCTTTCTTTAATAAAGGGTGCATCCCCACTGAAGTCCTCCTGATGACTTTTCGGTTTGTGACTTCATCATACTGGTTACACTCTCCCATTCAGTGGACACGATGCACATTAACCTGTGGATCTACATACGGTTCTACATAACGCTATGTGCAGTGGGTGCAGCATACACTGAAGTGATGTCACATTTACACACTGCACTCAAACACATAGTGTGTGCATTTTCCTCAAGGAGCTAGCAGGATATCATGCCCCTAGACACCAAGCAGGAACTCCACCAGCTGACCAATTCAATGCGACAACGACCAATCTTCCCTTTGTTCGGTATCTTTTGAAGAGAATAACATAAATCTTACCGACAAATACTGGTGTCTCGCAGACAACACCTGCGTCCTCATCATGGTTACAGTTATGAATCCCCAAACCTTGGTGATCACACTCTGCCAGGGTTTGGTCATCAGCTGAGCAGGACACCTCATCTAGAAATATTGGCCCACTTCCTGGGCCAAACGACCTCACAAATACAGCTGAACTAAAGCCAAGCTGATGACAGACAACGTTACCATCTGCAAGGTCCCAGCCATCATCACAAACTGTTCCCCATTCACCGTTGAAATAAATTTCAACCCGGCCTTTAGCTGATGATGTGCCACCAGCCAATCGAACAGTACCATCTGTTCCAGTTGATAAATAAACAATAAACAGTTAAAACATTGTACCTGTTACGTTATATCCTTGCATGCTGAAACCACAAACTTTTTACTTAATTATAGTCTGTCATGTTTAAAGCATAACCTGCCTCAAGTCTGTTTTCACTTGGGTTTTCATACATGTGGTAACATGACCTATTTTTTTGTGGTCACATGGCTGCTACAAGAGTCAGTGATTGGACTGCCCACATACATGCAGGCTACGATTGGGTCTGCGGTAGCATCAGTCTAGGGGATACAGTTAGAGTTATGGTTGGTTCATGCATAGAGCATGGCAACATAGTCCCTGTGCGGAGAGAAGAAGCATGCTTGGAACTGATGATTTGTGACCCTGGTCCTGTGTTCCTTTGTACACTTCCTTCAAGTGCTTTGGCAGCGATCTATTTAGATCAATGTCACAAAAACTTTGAGGTGATGAGTGGATGTTACGGTGTGGGCATTTCGAGTTACGGAGGCATTTTTGAACATACATGTACCAGCCTATTCTTGGCAGGTATGAACTTTTGCTTTGATTTATCCAGATTTTACTGTAGTTGGTAATTCGTGACAAGTCAGTGCTTTAAGCAAGGGTTAGAATCTCTCCAAACAATTGAAAGGTTTTAAAAAACAAATAAGCTTATGATGCCAAACAGGTCACCAGTTCGTGTCACATTTTAATATCACTATGCAACTTGTCATTGATTATACATATGGCACAAAAATCCTAATCCATCTGCTTAACTAAAGACAACTCTAGGTCTGGTTTTACTTGATGTTCTCTACATTTATTTCATCATGCATGAATGAGTTGAAAAACCATGAACCTCTCAACGTATATTGTCACTTGTGTTTTATGAAGCAAAATGAACTGTCTACTATGGAGTTTTCATGGAGGTTGCCAGTTTCAACTACTGAAGCCAACAATGTGATTCACATGCACTAACATGAACGTGAAGCCAAACATCCAAATGACCAATGTACATGTAAGATACAGATAGTAAGGAAATCATCATTAGTGTGTGATTTATTAAACACTGAATGGTGTGGCTGAGACACCAAAGTACATGTACCTGGCATCCAAGACACCTCTGGGCCTGAAGTTGTAGTTGAGCACACCACTCCAGCATCTTCTGAATGACCACAGTTATGAACAGTCCATCCTCCATGGGAACAATCTGCCAGTGTATTTTCGTCTCCTGTGCATTCCACGTTATCAAGTAAAATGGGCCCATCACCAACAGAGAATTCAGCAGCAGCTGACACAGCTCTTACTGCACCTGGGAAGCCCAACTGACGACAGACAACAATGGCATCGCTGATATCCCAAACGTCATCACAGACAGTGCCCCAGTCACCTTGATAGTAGACCTCAACACGTCCCTCAGAAGATGAGCTTCCATCAACTAAACGAACACTGCCATCTAAATGTAAAATGAAACAACAAATCAATCAAGAGCAGCTTTGGAAATAGTTTTAAAACCGATTTGGATTCCAACTTATTAGCAAGCATCACAAAGCCTCTGGACCAGCAGTTGAAGTAGAACAAGTGACTTAAGCATCATATAAATGGTCAGCAAAATGACAATCTAACACGTCACCGGTACTTTCCTGTCCCGATGAGTACTCAACATTATCAAATATCAAGGAAAGTGGGCCCATCACCAAGAAACATCTCAGCACCCAGCAGATACAGTTGGGATGCCCAAACTGATTAGAGAAAACAGGAATTCTTTGATGTCTCACACAGTTTTGCACACATATGACCACATACAGCACCCTACCAGCAGATCTCAACGTGCTCTTTGTAAGGAACAGTGCCATTAACTAATCCAACAATGCCAACTGACAGAGGGCAGAGATCTTATTTGTGGAGCATTGGGTCTTTCTTCATTGTAAACCGGGCCAAACTAAGGAGTCAGGGTACAATCACCAGTCTATGGAGTGACTTAACAGTCTGCTAAACAAGTCAAAAGCAATCAAGAATTTAAAGTCCAACTTTAACTCCTGAGAGGCCGATTTCCTGGAGATGATACGTATGGTCACAGTGATGACGTGTCAGCCAAATGTATTGTTTCAATCATAGGGACTGCATACTGCTAGGCAGGAAACAATCTCTGATTTTCAGCAAACTTAATTTTTGTCCCCACCATCACCCCAAGCTCCAACTATTACCACTACGGCATTTATTCACGTAGAATAAACCAGCCCAATAATAATGGCTGAACTTTACTTTGGCCAAGGCAAATTACCAAGTAGTTTATACAATGTACATTTTGTGGATTAAGGCCGGGTAATGAAGCAGAAGTCACTTTTTCTGTTTTTTACAGGCAACAACTTTTCCCTGAGTAGTGCAACAGGGGAGAACTGTTCTTTCCTTCTGCATGTTCAAATGTTGGATAAAAACAGTGCCTGCGTACAGTGTAACATGTTTATCTGATGCACAAATGTTCTTAAGTTTTATATAATTTACTCTGGCATTGTCTCAAGTTAATAGTTGATTAAGATTTCTTGGAAAGGATATTTGTCTCATTATAATAGCTGGCAATATTATGCCTTATTATGTTCCAGTTATGATCATCAGGTGTTTGTGTTGGTGACCTTAATCTTTAGCCTTGAGACACCAAAGTACACTGTACCTGGCATCCAAGACACCTCTGGGCCTGAAGTTGCAGTTGAGCACACCACTCCAGCATCTTCTGAATGACCACAGTTATTNCAAGACAGTACCTCGTTTTGTAATTTGAATTGTGAAAATTTTTTCCCTACCACTACCCCAAGCTCCCATGCACCATTACCACTATGGCATTTATTCACATGGAATAAACTAGCCCAATAATAATGACTGAACTTTACTTTGGCCAGAGCAAATTATGAAGTAGTTTATACAATGTACATTTTGTAGATTAAAACAAGGTAATGAAGCAGAAGTCACTTTTTCTTTTTTTACAGGCAACAACTTTTCCGTGAATAGTGCAACAGGGGAGAACTGTTCTTTCCTCCTGTATGTTCAAATGTTGGATAAAAACAGTGCCTGCAAACAGTGTAACACGTTTATCCGATGCACAAATGTTCTAAAGTTTTATATAATTTACTCTGGCATTGTATCAAGTTAATAGTTAATTAAGATTTCTTGGAAATTGGAAAGCATGATTGGCTTATTATAATAGATAGCAATATTATGCCTAATCATGTGTTTGTGTTGGTAACCTTGAACTTAAGCCTTTTGTGCTGCCCTCACTGCATTGAGCTGTGGTGCTTGGTGAGCTTTTTGGGTGCTCAGAGCTGATAGTGCTTGTGGGCTTTTGGTACCAACACTATGCTGGGGCCTTGTTTGATATAAAAAATAAGTTAATAGTGACCCACAAATGTGCAATCCTTAAAACAAGAGGACCCTGAAAACCAAAATCTGCATATACTTAAATTTGGCTAAGATATGTTGTCACACAGAACTGGTGTGTTGTTTATGTTATTATTTGTCTGCTTATAAGACAGCGAATAAAAAATGTACATAGAGACATTACGATGGATTTCATGAAATTTGTCAAAAGTTAAAATGACACATTTCATGTTTCTAAATTCAGATCAAGAAAACTTGCGGTGAGAACATAAAATTTGCATCTGCTTTGTAACAAGTGGCTTTGTAGAGTCTTGTAATATTGTCTTCTACTCTCGAAATAAGAGAATTAATAAGACAAGTTATATCGTATCATTTTTTTTTGATAAAAGAGAAGCCTACTGCTACCTCAATTGTAGTTGTGGAGTATTAGTGAAATCTGAAAAGTTTCATTATTTCAAAATGGCATTTGAAGTGCATTTCAAAAGTGATTAGACTATCACGTACCTTGAAATATGACAGGGGTTTCGGTGGTGGG